GTTTAAGATATCGCATGTTCATTAATTATTAAAGCTTCTGACTACTTTGATTAATCAAAATCTTTTATTACTTAAGTAGTACCACTCAACCTTATTATCGTACGGATTAAATCCACCTGCAGGGTTTATACAATAATTCTTATGAGTTCTTTAAGGGAACGTCATCAACCTAGATGTCCAAGACACGGTGCCCTAATGCCAATAAATAGATATCATGCAAATAATGTTGTCTCCCAAGATACGGATCATATTGAACCAATACTTGGTTCTCACCCATGGTAAAACAAAGTAACAAACAAATATCCCACATACCTAAGTATCATAGTTAGGGTTAACAATTAGTAGAGTCACCGAGACCTAGGTTCTTCATGATAGTCAGAACATAAGAACACGTCTCAACTGTGATCCATTCAATGCGACGCAGTGCACTAGTATAAACTAATAGCCAAGACAAGCTACATGCAGTTTATACTACAACCTACACCGAAGTCATGTCCATAACTATCTCTGTTGTGAATACCATTAGTATCTTACAAGGGACCGACAATGTAATCTTCTGTGTGACTACTAACACACTACATTGTCTACAATATAAGATAATTGGACATTTAGCATACAAGGAATCATAGAAAATGCATCAATGTGAAAACATTTATTTCAGTTAAAATGGAAAATTGAATAAATACAATCCAAAAGCTCATACACAAGTTTGCTTTACTGTTTACCCCAAAAATCTCCCACTTATACTAAAGCTAAACTTGTATTATATAAACACATGCCATAATACCCACTTATACTCAAAGTTTAGCTGCGACACATCGTAAACCAAGACCCACTACGTGTTTCTCGAAGACATTGACAGTCAGAGTCTTCGTGAAAGGATCAACTAGGTTATCCAACGATGCTATCTTTGTCACAACCATATCTCCTCGTTTGATGATCTCTCGTATAAGGTGGTACTTTCTCTCGATGTGTTTACTGGCCTTATGTGCTCAGGGTTCTCTCGAGTTTGCGACTGCACCAGCGTTGTCACAATAAATTTTGATACACCTAGGCACACTCTAAGATACCCCTAAGTCCAGTAAGCTCCTGAGCCAAACAACCTCCTTAGTTGCTTCTGAAGCAGCAACGTATTCGGCTTCCATGGTAGAATCTGCGATGCATTTCTGCTTCACACTCCTCTATGAGATAGCTCCGCCTCCCATCATAAACACATAAACCGAGGTTGACTTTCTCTTATCTCGATCAACTTGAAAATTAGAATCTGTGTAACCCAAAGGAGTTAGACCGTCTGACTGGTAAACAAACATATAATCCCGAGCTCTTTTCAGATACTTGAGAATATGCTTACCGCAGTCCAGTGTCCTTGACCAAGGTTTGACTGATATCTCGCAACCATGCCAACCGCATTGCAAATATCAGGTCTCGTGCACAGCATGGCATACATAAGGTTTCATACAGCCGAAGCATAAGGAACCTTAGCCATTTCCTCTATCTCCTTTTGTGTCTTCGGACACATATCCTTAGATAGAGGAACTCCATGCCTAAAAGGTAGCAACCCTTTCTTGGAGTTCTGCATGCTGAAACGAGCAATCACAGTATCAATGTAAGCATCTTGAGATAGACACAACATTCTCTTCTTCCAGTCACGAATGATCTTAATTCCAAGAATGTCGATGCCTCACCGAAGTCCTTCATTTGATATTGTTCTGAAAGCCATACCTTTATGTCTGACAAAATCATGACATTGTTGCCGATGAGAAGAATACCATCTACGTATAGTACTAAGAGTACCACTACGTTTCTGTTGCTCTTTTTGTATACACAACTTTCATCTTGACATTGATCAAATCCATAGGACTTGATCACCTCATCAAAACGAATATTCCAAGACCTAGAAGCTTGTTTTAGACCATAAAGACACTTCTTTAGCTTCCAAACTCGATGCTCTTGGCCTTTTTTCACATAACCCTCGAGTTGCTGCATATAGATGTCTTAATCCAAGTTTCCGTTAAGGAAAGCTGTCTTGACATCCATTTGCCAAACCTCATAGTCCATGTGACTTGCTATGGATAAGAGAATTCGGATCGACTTAAGCATGGCTACTGGAGAAAAGGTCTCATCATAGTCGATTCTCTCTTTTTGAGTGAAACCCTTCGCAGCCAACAGTGCTTTGAAGGAAATAACCTTCCCGTCAGATCCTCTCTTATGCCTATAGACCCATTTGCACCCAATGGCTCTCTTGCCTTCAGGAAGGTCCCTAAGGTCGTATACCTCCATAGCATCTATAGATTCAATCTCAGAATCCATAGATTTCTGCCAAGAATCTGCATCTACGTCTTGGATTGCCTCATTATAGATCCAGGGGTCACTATCATGCTCTTCACTTGGGATGAAGTCTGAAGACTCTCCCACAAACATGAAACGATCGGGCTGATGAACAACCCTCCCACTATGACGAGGCAATTCGGGTGTAAATACATCAGAGTCAACACGTTGTGCAGTCTCTTGTGGTATATCCTCTTGCACACTCGGTATGCCATTGTCTTCCCTCAACTCATTGAGAATAATCTCACTCTTGGACTTATGCTCACCAGAGCCGGTCCTGAAAATTATGAGGCCCTGGGCAAAAAAAAATAATAATAATGCCTCGAACTCTCTCATTATTTAAAAGATACTGTCATGAGCTATTACATTTTCAATAAAAAATTTAGATATTTCAAATGACCGTTAAGCGTATAAAAAAATAATAATAGTTAAACGAGTGATAAGGGGAAAGAGGCACCAAAATGCAACAAAAAATAATAATTTTCAAATACGATCAATGAATGGAGGCTCTTGTGATTTTTGTAGAGTAAAATACATTTTCGTCCTGTATGTTCACCCCTCTAAACATTTTAGTCCTCTTCGAATTGTGTTTTTTATTTTCGTCCCGTATGTTTGAAAAAAGGTTACAGAAAGGTCCTTTTCGCAATAAAAAGGTCCTTTATGTTTTGGAATAAGGTATTCCAATTTCATCCCTTATGTATGAAAAAGACCTTTTTGTAACATTTTTTCAAACATACGGGACCAAAATGAAAAACGCAATTCGAAGAGGACTAAAATGTTTGGAGGGGTAAACATACAAGACGAAAAATGGATTTTACTCTTTTTTTTAAACCCTTAAAATAGAGGCATAGTTAATCATACCTATAATAATTTTAGATAGTCGGTTTTGGAAATTTGAAATTATGTGAGTTAATTAGAACCTGTTTATTTATAAGTTATCATGTATTAAACATAAATATAATATAAAAAAGGGCAGAAATACAAAAATCTAAGTAATAATCTACATGATTCTCAATGTAAATAAAAAATATATTTTCTAAAACCATTACAACACTAAATGAATTCCTAAAAGACTTAACTTTTAAAAATTTCATATGTTTTTTTAAAGTATTAAACACATCTTAGTATTAACAAAATAAAAAATTACTTAAGTTTTTTGTAACCGTAAAGTGGGTAAGAACAAAAAAGGCTTTTCTTTTTTTTTTTGCCAAAACGATAGGGAGGATATCATATAACTCAAGAGGATAAAATACTAATACAGCAGGTCCAACAAATTAAGATCGAAAAGATAAACTGGGAGACACACTTTACAGTGGTCTAAAACCTAAGAAGAGGAACACCAACCAAATATAATAAACATAAATCCAAGTGAAGCTACCCTCTACTGCACAAGCCTAGCAGGGTACACTTAGAGAAAGAAGGAAACAAACTAGCTACAAATGAAAAAAAACAAATCAAAGTGAGGCAGTCAAGGTGAATTGAGTCCAATCTGAGTGAGCTAGCTGAACCACCTTCACTTCTGGCATGAGAGATGCTTGGAATACCCAAAGATTCCTTGATTTCCAATGCCACCAAAGAATATAGGTAGACAATTGTATTCTAGCCTCTGAGACTTCAGAATGATTAAGGGTGCAGATTTTGAACCACCATTCCTTAAAGCTGTCTGCTAAGTCTGAAATGCCATGCCACCTGACAGGAGAAATGTCCCATACCTTTGAAGCTCTGGGGCAACTTAAAAGAACATGAGTGATTGTCTCTGAAGTTTCACCACAAACTGGGCATATGTGATCAATGTCAATTCTTTTTCTTCTCAGCAAGCTTGCCACAGGAAGGGTTCCTGACAAGCATTTCCACAGAAAGTGCTTCAATTTCCCAGCAACTTTCATCTTCCAAAGTCTGAATTGCACTGATTTGCTGACTGAAGAGCTGGCACTGGATTCTGGGATGTCAAGTTGATCAATCTTGATTTTTGAGAGATGCTTGTAAGTGCTTGCTACAGAGAATTTACCTTTCCCATCCAAACCCTAAAAAATTCTGTCTGACCTCCCAGGATGAAGAGATGTTATTTTAAGAATAGCTTCACTATCTGTTTGATCAAAAACCTATTTCACAAGCCAGTCATTCCAAGCATAGCCATTAGGTTGCAGAAGGTCTTTGACCTATATGAGGTGATCCCTAGCAATAGGGATAAGAGAAGGAGCTGCTTTCTGTAAATTGGGAACCCAGTTGAAGTCATCAATCTTGGTTGTAGTTCCATCTCTGATTTCAATTTTCAACCATTTGGAGAATAGAGGGATCATCTCCATCCAACAATTCCACATCCATGACCCATTAGATGCTTTAGAAGCATGAGTGATTGCAGTATGAGTAAAATACTTGTCTTTCAAAACTTTACTGACCAAAAGGTCAGGCTGTGATGCCACCCTCCATAACTGCTTGCAAATTAGAGCTTTGTTGAACACTTGCAGATCTAAAAAACCCAAACCACCTTTATTCTTTGGTAAAGCAAGTAGGCTCCACTTCTTCCAGTGTATTCCTCTAGTTTGTTGGTCTCCATTTTGCCACCAGAAGTTAGCACAAAGCTGAGAGATTTCAGAACAGATAGTGATAGGAAGCTTAAAGCAAGACATGGTAAAGATTGGTAAGGCCTGAATGATTGCTTTTAGCAGGACTTCCTTCCCAGCTGTACTCAAGAGTTTAGATGTCCAATTTTGAAGTTTATTCCTAACTGAATTCAGCAAATACTCAAACACCTCCTTTTTAGATTTCCCAATGCCAAGTGGTAAGCCAATGTATCTTGTTGATCTATGAGAAGTAATACCATTGAGAGTTGAGCAAATTATAGCTTGAAGAGGTTGTGGAGTGTTTCTACTGAAGAAAATGGCTGATTTGTTCAAGTTGACAGCTTGTCCTGTGAATAATCTGTATTTCTCTAGGATTGTCATTAGTATTGCTGCTTGATCAACACTTGCTCTGCAGAAAAAGATTGAGTCATCTGCAAACAGCAGATGAGTGAGTAGAGGACCATTTCTGGAAAGTTTGAGGCCTTTGAGTTGTCCTGTGTCCACTGCTTGAAAAATCAGTGCTGTGAGAGCTTCTGCCACTATTAAGAACAGATAAGGGGACAGAGGGTCCCCTTGCCTAATACCTCTGCCAGGCTTAACATAACCACTTACACTGCCATTGATTTTTAAAGAAAAGGAAGCAGTGGAGATGCATATTAAGATCAGCTTTACAAAATCTCTGTGGAAGCCCATTTGAAGCATAATTTTCTGCACACTAAGCCATTCAACTCTATCAAATGATTTGATTAGATCAAGCTTGAGAGCCATGAATGAGTTTGGACCTGAAGAGTGCCTATTCAAGAAATGAAATGATTCCTGTGCTATTATTACATTGTCCATGAGTTGCCTTCCCTCTATAAAAGCAGATTGATGGTTGCTAATGCAATGCGGTAAACAAACTTTCAGTCTCAGAGGCAAAACCTTGGAGATGACTTTATAAATCACAGTGCAAAGACTTATCAGTCTGAATTGACTAACACTCTCTGGATTTAGGCACTTAGGAATCAGGGAAAGAATGGTATGGTTCCAGTATTTAAGTATCATACCTGTTTGAAAGAAGCTCAGGATGGCTGCCAAAAAATCATGCTTAATCAGCTCCCAGAAATGCTTATAGAACACTGAGCTCATCCCTTCCTCTCTTGGAGCCTTATCAGAAGGCATTTGGAATAAAGCTGACTTGACTTCATCCTCTGTGACTGGTTTCAGGAGGGCTTCATTCATTTCTGAGGTGATGGATTGGGGGATTAATTGCAGAACAGAGTCACCACCCATGCTGCCCTCAGAAGAGAATAAGTTGGAATAAAAGTCAGCAATATGAGTCTCTATATCTTTTTGAGAGGTCAGGATCCTCCCATTTGAAGAAATCAGTATGGTGATTGCATTTTGTTTTCTCCTTTGAAGAGTGAAAGCATGAAAAAATCTGGTATTGGCATCACCTTCTTTAAGCCATTTCTGTCTGGATTTCTGTTACCAATACAGCTCTTCCTGAAGATGTGCTTTGTTCAGTGAATTTTTTGTGCTCATCCAACTGTTCCAGTTGCTTCCAGATTTGTCTTCATTCAGAGTTTCCATTTGAAGAGTAAGTTCAGCTATAAGGGCCTGATTTTGAGATTGGAATGAGGAACTCCATTTTAGAAGGGCAATTCTAGTGAGTTTGATTTTTTCTTTGAGCCTGAAGAAAGGAGTTCCTGTGACCGGAGTATTCCAAGCTAACTGGACAATCTCATCAAATCCATCCTTACCAATCCATCTTTTGTCAAAATTGAATCTGGCTTGTTTCTTATCTGAGGGCAGAACTAAGTTCAGGACAAGTGCAGAGTGATCTGAGGAGCTTCTCATCACATTAATCACTGAGACATTAGGATAAGACTGGTTCCAATCCAGAGTGCCAAATTCTCTATCCAGCTGTTCTTCTATCATTTCATCAGAGGCTCTCTGATTACACCATGTAAATGGATAACCACTCAGTCTAATTTCCTCCATATCCATGCTGTCAATAAAGGAATTAAAAGGCTAAAGACTGGCTGGACTTCTTGGATGTCCACCTTGCTTTTCTGAAGTCTTGCAGATATCATTACAGTCCCCCATTGCAAACCAACAATCTCCCCAAGCTTGTCTTTCTAGAATTAATTTATCCCATTGGGTTTCTCTGGTAGTCCTACATGGACTTAGATATACAAAAACACCCCACAGGGGGCTACAAGAAGGTAAAGAAAAATGAACAGCAATAAAGAAGTCTTTACAAATAATTTGCTGAATGGAAACATCAGAATCCCAAAATAAAGATAAACCACCCCTTAAACCGGTGGGGCTCACAATACAAATTCTATCTGCATAACCAAGCTTAGTACCAATAGATATAACAAAGGAATTTGGTTTTTTTGTTTCAGAGAGAAATAGAAAATGTGGGTGGTGAGTTTTTTTTAACTCTCGCAATTGGGAAATTGTAGAGGGCCCACCCAGCCCTCTACAATTCCACACCTAACATTTATCCTGTGGGTGCCATTCAAGGCTGGCAGCCCCCACCTTTTCATTGTGCTCTTGCTGTTTATGCTTTTTTGGTGCTGTTTGACTTAGGATGATCTGCTGATGAGAGTTTGATTGATCTTCTTCTGAAGTCCTATGCCTTTTTTTCAGAGGATCTTGTTCAGTGACAATGGAAATAGCAGACTCCCTCAGCAGTCTGCCTGCTTTGCTCATATCCCTTCTCCAAGTCTTCAGAGGATGAGAAGAGTTGGTAACTACTATATCTCTAATTGAAAGAACTGCTTCTGGAGTATAGGGAAGAGGGTCCAACTCCATTATTTTGCTTGATTCCACTATTTGCAGATTGGATTCAACTGATGTGTCTCTGACCTCAGGAGTATGAGAGGCTGAAGCTACTGAGTCCTGGTCTTTCTCTATGTTCCTGGTAGGTGTTGCGTTTGGGACAGGGATAATCTGTTGACTGGTTTCAGCTTGCTGAGATGATGTGTTTGGAGGAGATCTGTTCTCATTCCTTGTGGGGGAATCGGTGGATGGAGAACCTCTGGAACTTGAATTTGCATTGTCAAACCATATCTGGTTTTCTGTTGCTTTCAGAAAATCTCCATATTGACCTTCTTTAAGAGAGTTACTATTGATGTCTGAAATCCTCTTTGAACAACTTCTATCCAAATGCCCAATTATACCGCAATAGTGATACAGATTTTGAAGATTTTCATATTTAAATCCTACCTGAGCTGTTTGGTCTCCCAGTCCGATGTTTGCAACTCTAGGCAAAGGCTCATTCAGGTTAACTATGACCAGCAATCTAAGATATTTGCCACCGTGATTCCCAGCATTAGCTAAAACAACGTTCTTAACATTCTTGAAAACTTTTCCTATTTTTAGTCCCACCTCAGTGCTCAGCCAATTGATGGGTGTGTTTGTAACTTGAACCCAAATATTGAGATCTTGAAAATAGGAATGCTTACTTGAAATACCATGTTGCCATTCCTTAAGAACGAGATACTGGTTTTCGAAGCTCCAATTGATGCCATTTGCTACTTTCTGTTTATCTTCTCTACTTTGGAATATGAACTGGAAATAATTTGGACTCAATTCCTTGATTTCCATTGATTGATTGAGTCGCCAGATGGTAGTCATAGTACGCTTAACTCCAATCCAGTTCGCAGCCCTATCGCCAATTATTTTCCTAAAGAGGCTTCGGATGCATTCCTTTGCACTCATTTTGATATCTGTTTGGGCAATATCAATGAAGTTCGCTTCCTTATCTGATAGGGAAAAATCCCTCAATTGATCTGAAAGATCTTCTTCCTGAGTGTCTGACATAACTACGCAACCCTTGCTTCTCAAAACACAGGCAAGAAACAGATGGAAAGAAAATTGAAAGAGGATGGAACAATTGAAAAAAGGACGAACAATGAGCAACCGAGAATTGGATCAATGATCAACCGAAAGAGGAATCAAATCGAAGAATCACTACGCTCCCACCTGAGAGAATCACTACGCTCCCACCTGAGAGAATTGCAAATAAATTTTCATTTTTGTATTTATGCAATTCTTTTTTTTTAAAAAAAAAAGGCTTTTCATATGCATAAATCATGAATTAATGACACCGCCTAACCTTCTCCTTAAAAAATTTTCGTTAAAGTGCCCATTCCCTATTTAGACAATTTTACTCCTTTTTTTTTACAATTATAAACTTTGAAATTTTTATTTATACTCCCTGCGTCAGTTACTATTTTTATATTTCCTTTTTATTTTCGTTTTTTATTCTTATTAACCTTATAAAGTTGATCTTCTCTTTCTCCTCAATCTAATTTTTCCTCCAAATCTATTTCCCAAAATTTTGCCCCAAATCCACATTCCAAATCTTCGGAGTGAAGGAACGGCAAGAACATCATCTTCAATCGATAAAGATGGTTCCTTTAAAAACCGCAAATTTCTTCAGTTGCGGCATCGCCGCTCCGTGCAACTACTTAGTTTCTGAAATCTGTGGATGCGAGTCATTTTTGGGTGGGGAATGGCAGCCGCGGCGACGGTCCTGGCTGCATGCGAGGGGTGTTGGACTTGCCGAGCACGGGACTGGTGCGTTTCAGAAGGTTTGAATTTTAATCATCCATTGTTGCCTTAATTTAAGATTATCAAACCAGGTCAAAAAGATGCCAACAGACCTGATGCCAAACCCGGGTTGTTTGGATATTTTTTAGATTTTTTTAGGAAATTGAGATCCAAGTTGACTGGTTGATCCCACCATTTTTTTTTTTCTTTTTGGCTTCGTTATTATAATTTTTTTATGAATAAAGAGTATTTGTATAAATTTCTATTGGAAATATTAATATATTTGTGTTGTAAATATCTATGATGAGAAAAAATAATTTAAAATTAATTATTAGATTTTGTAATTAACTTGGTAACCCGCGTTTGCTATGATGCTCCAAGCGTGTGGCAAGTTCTTAATGATAACTATTTTTGTTTTCTGTTTGAAATTATCCAATAAATTCTCTAATTACCAAATGCTTGATATTTTCAACAATAAATTTTCTCATAAGGTTTATGTCAGATATAGAAATGTGAATGTGAATCTTTCAAAGGTAATACAGAAAAATGATGATGGTTCATATTTTTAATGTTTACATATAGTTATTTTTATGTTACTTGAAAGAAGTTTCGTTGTTGTTGTTTGTTCTCTTATGATGGATGATATTTTTAATGTTTACATACAGTTGTTTTTATGTTGCTTGAAAAAAGAAATTTATTGTTGTTGTTGCTTATTTTGTTTCGTTTTTTGTTTTTACAATATATATTTGTGTTGGTTTTTAGTTGATTTAACTGTTTAAAGTTTTTTTGTATTTTTTTTTTGTAGGAATTGATGGTTGAACAAGAAGAAGAAGAAGGGAGAATTGAGAAGAAACGTGAAAAGAGAAGAAAAAAAGAGAGAGATGAGAGAGAGAATGAAAAGAAGAAAGAGAAAGATAGCAGTTAGAGAGCAGTTATTTAATTTAAAATAATTTTTAATAAGTAACTTCTTATGGGAGTATATTTAGAATTCTATATAGTTGGTTTCATGAATGAAACTTTGATTTAATAGTGAGTTAGTTATGTAATTTTCCCCATAAATCAGTGGAGAAAAAATAATTACAAAATGTTAAATATTTAAGTGGGCCTCTTATTTTATTTGGAGGAAAATAATAACAAAATGTTTGGGTATATATATTGGGCTCCTTTAATTTCTGACTTTGGTTGGCACAACTAAATTGTGAGAGTCGGAAAAAAAAAAAAAAAAAAAAAAAAACGGTTTCTAAAATTAAGTAGGCATTTTCTTACAATTGGGTCCATTATTCAAGTTGGGCCCCTTTTTCTATGTTTGGTTGAGGCACAATACATTTCTAATAGACAACAACAAAAATAGAAACAACTTGAAATATTAAATAGACATTTTCGTATTATTGGGCCCATTTATCAAGTTGGGCCCTGGGTCAGGGCCGTTCCTGATGCTCACTCATATAGTTTTCTTTTAAAAACCGGACATTGGTGCTAACCACAACCCTATGATCTTTAGGACTATAAAAGTAACCACCTCTCGAATACCAAACACGTACATACATGATTTCGATTAACCCTAGGCATGCTCCTAAAGGACGAACAGAGAATTACCTTGAAAAGGAGGTTTGATTCGATCTGAGCGACCTTCTAGTATGTGTCCCGACCACGCTTGGACGCCGGATGGACGATGATCCTCCAAACGGTTGAAAGAAGCGGACTGCCCTCGTCTTTCTCGAACCCTTCTCGTTACTCTCTCCACAATGGTGGCTGGAGTGTCTCACGAAATTGCTAGGGTTTAGAACGTAAGAGGTCCCCTCCTTTTATAGAGGTCCTTGGGCCAGACTAGGGATCTCTTAGAAGGTATAGGGTTTGGGCTCCCTACATGCCCAAATTTTTATGTTCAGCCCAGAACACAATTCGACCTGTAAATATTAGTTCATTCCACTAGAGAATTAATATTGCACTCCCGTCCTATCCCGAAATGAATCAGAGCTTCTATTAGACTCGATATAATTCCCCGTGTTTAAGATATCGCACGTCCATTAATTATTAAAGCTTCTGACTGCTTTAATTAATTAATATCTTTTGTTCCTTAAGTAGTACCACTTAACCTTATTATCGTACGGATTAAATCCACCTGCAAGGTTTATACGATAATCCTTATGAGTTCCTTAAGGGGACGTCATCAACCTGGATATCCAGGACACTGTGTCCTAATGCCAATAAATAGATATCATGCAAATAATGTTGTCACCCAAGATAGGGAGTATATTGAACCAATACTTGGTTCTCACCCATGGTAAAACAAAGTAACAAACAAATATCCCACATATCTAAGTATGATAGTTAGGGTTAATAATTAGTAGAGTCACCGAGACCAAGGTTCTTCATGATAGTCAGAACAGAAGAACACGTCTCAACTGTGATCCATTCAATGCGACGCATCGCACTAGTATAAACCAATAGCCATGACAAGCTACATCCAGTTTATACTACAACCTACACCGATAGTCATGTCCATAAATATCTCAGTTGGGAATTGTTGGAACCCATGAGGATCTCGATATGCACAAATCACAGACAAACATTCAACATAAACCTATGCGCAGCGGATCTAAAGGTTTGATGAAGAAAACTTACTGCTTAAAATTTATGTAGATCTGGCTGGCCCGAACAGTTGACCGCAAATCAAATCTTCTCGGAATCGAACAAACTTGACCAATCCAGAAAGCTGACGTCACGGCGAAGTCAACGGCGTTGACCGATCAGAAATAGGGCTTCTCACGCGCTCTCACGCGCGACGACAAGTTCCAGCAGCTGCTTCCTTCAGGCGACGCGTGTGGGCGCGTGCGGCGGCGTGCGGCGGCGATCTCGACGGCGATCTCTTCGTCTCGTCGTCCTGGTCGTCGTGGTATGGTCACTTGCTGGTTTTGGTCTCCGGTTTGGATGTATGATTGGAATCTCTATATACCTTAAGATCTTCTACTGTATTCTCAAACAGCTTTCTAGATCTTGTATCAGTGGAACACAAGAAATAGAAGAACTCCTTGGAAAGAGAGAGAGAGAGAGGCGGCGTGATTTATGAGCTGATGGGATTGTCTCTTCTCTTCCAAGAGCCTAATGCTGTATATATAGAGCTACAGTAGGGACCCTAAGGAGAATAGGATAAGGGCTTCTAATATATTAATACTGTGGAGCAACCCCACAATTAATATATTAATAATATTAAAGTCCACCACAATAATATTATTGCACTCCCCTCACCTATCCCAAATTAAATTTGAGACTCCTTATTATAATTATCCGATTTACCTCCCCATGTTTAAGATATAATGTCCATTAATTAATTCGATCACTAATAATCAAGAATTAATTAATATATTATATTACCGAAGCTAGCGCTCGGTCATAGCATTCATATTATGCCGGAATAAATCCACCTGCAGGGTTTAGCATAATATTCCTTCATGAACTCACTTCGGGGACATCATCATACTAACGCACATGGTGACCGTATATATCCTGACAGCACATCGAACACATAATGTTATTACCCAATTCATTAAGTATGTCGACCCGGCTTGGATCTCACCCAAAGAATCAAAGCAACAACAATTATGTGCACATGCCTATTTAATATCTTACGGGTTAAGAGCACACAATAATTAACTGAGGCCTAGTTCGTTTACGACGATTAGTATAAAACGAACATCCCTCTCTAGGATCCTGTTCAATACATAAATGTACTAGTGCAACTAATCGGTCAAGACAAACCGTACGGTTGACACTACACCCGTTCCGATGGGTTATTCAATTCCATCTAGGTTGTGAACCAACGATTCTTGTTTCGCAAGTAACTGATATAGTGATCTTTGTACGCCCGATGACGACCCACTTATCTACATGCAAAACAACAGAACGTGGAACTTATTTAACCAAACATAATTCTCATTCATCAAGGAATAACAAGTGTAATATCCACTAAAGCAAAGCTGAAGTATATAACACCAACAATCTCCCACTTATACTTAAAGCTGCCGCTTTACTAGTATAGTCCTATCAATCCGTATCCTAAAAGACCTATGTCGATCCTATCACCATACATTTGACTCCCATTCCCTCTACGTG